GCAGATTTCAGACGATCATTTTGGTTAAGGTATATCTAGAGTTTTGGCAGCTTTTCCTGAACCCAAACAGACTTATAAAATATCCCATTTTACTGCAAAAAAAAGCCCAATCATGCCAATTAATTTTCCTCTTCATTCTGGGATCATACTTGGATAAGACACTGAGGTGCAGACTCTAGTTCATTTTTTCTGGTTGAGAAAGGTAGACTCTCAACATTTGGCTATTCAAATCTGTCTGTTATGCTTATTCAGCTTTTTGTTTTTGAGTATTTTTACACTGTTTCCACAAGGAGGGTAAAACTGCCAATATCTTGCTTTATTGGCTTGATCAGTGTGTTGTCTTCTAAATGTCTTGTGTCTTCCTTATTCAAAAAGAACAGGTGCAGTGTCACGAAAAGAACCGTTCTTAATTAGCCATCTAGGTGCACGTTTATGGCGTTTAAAAAATGATAAAGATCTGCCAAAGAAGCAATTGCAGAATTTTTCCCCCCCAACTTTCTAGCTAATGGAACGGTAGTTTTTGCACACTGAGAATTTTTAATTAAAGTCATTATTTTCCTCCTTAGAATAAAAATGTCCAACTTTTCCTTCTAATTAAAGGGTTTTTTTCTTTGATCAGATGCTTTAAAATCACATTCTACCAGCACCAAGAAGAGATTTCTGACCTTGAAGGAAAGCTATTGCTGCAGCGGTAGGAGGAGAAATGTCCCTGAACCATATAAATTCCTCCAAAACGAACACAATGACAGCTGCAGGAATCTGAAGGTTTTTCAATTTATTTTATCCGTACATCAAAGAACTGGTACAATTATATTTGATATGTTTGTAGCAATCATTTATTTATCCGTTGAAAAGAAATACCGATCTAATGTTGGTTGTTTAAATCCTTTGAGTGAACGATGCCAAAGTAGGTATGCTGTATCTGTAATTTGGTAAAAGATGCAGTGGCTTTCACCATAACAAATAAAAAAAAACACTTACTTGTTAAAAGTTAAGTTACATTTTCATTGAAGTTCTATGCATGTATTCTTATATAAATCTTTAGAATTGAATTAAAAGCAGAAAAAGAAGCGTGTAGGTATTCAAAACATGCAAAACTTGTACATGTAGGAATGGGAGAGAGGAGTTCTATAATTATTGTACACATGTCCATTTATAAAGTCTTATCTGGAGTCTGTACGGATGTAGAATGAATGTCAAGAATGTCAGGAACAGTTTGCAAGACTTTAATTAGTCCCAAAGGTTTTTTTGTTTTTTTTCAAACACATTTTAGTTTTGCATATTGTTGTGAAAACTGTGTAATGAAATAAAGTTGTTGAGTTATTGGCTTATCTGTGAGGGTCATTCGCAGAAAATGTGAAACAATTGCTTTCATTACTATTTTTTTTTTTTTAAACCCTGAACTACCCTATACAAAGATTCCATGTGGAAGGGAGTAGTCAGTATCCTGACTCTGTGAACATCTTTAGTTTTGATTAAAATAAATTCTCGACAGACTGGTGAATAGCCAGTTAGAGCAAACTTAGTTAAAAACATCTTTGTACCATTCTACAAATACTGTTATTTCAAAAGTAACCCTCAACATAAACTGTTGTCTAAACATTTATTCTCTCATTGTATAAAAGAAGTCATTGTTTACCTCTATGTATCCCTAAGACTTGCATTTTTTAAGAGTGGTGTGTGCAGTTCAATGCAGTGAGGAATGTTCATATCTTTATGAACATCCTTCTTAATGTAGTTGTGCTTTGCTTTATGTAGTTTTGTTTTTCTTAATGTAGTTGCGCTTTTAGATTTGTAGTTGCAGTTTGCACTTCAGGGCCACCGTACAATACTGACATGGTTACTATGATTGTTAAGATGATCTATTACCACCCATGCTGGGAAAGGCTCATTCAGAGAGGTACAAGTATATCAAAATATATAAATATTTTCTTATAAATAAATCAGCTTGAAACCAACAACATTTGAATAAATCAGTTCTCAAAATTACTTTAAATCAATCTAAATGATGGTTTACCCAAAAAAAAAATGTAATGTTTTGTGATTATTGTGTTAGACTAGATTACGTTATCAACTTTTTCTATTACTCAGTTCTTGTGTTGCTTTCAAAAGAACAGCTGAAGTTAGTCTTAAGTTCTCAAAGCCAAAGCCTTATTTATTTTGACCACATATAAAGTTGCAGAGTGCTGGACACCTTCTGCAGAACAAGCCCTGTAAATAGAGTGAAAATCACATTAATGTTCTTGGGCACGTATCCTCAGCACAAAAGGCAGGACTAAAGGCACGCAGTCTTATTGGTCACCTTTTGAGCAGGAGAGTCACTGTGAGGACAAACACTGGAATGTACTAGAAAATATGTGTTTGTGTGATTGCAGGTCCAGGTGTGGAGCTCTTGCAACAGGCCAACAGACAGTAGATAAGACCTTGACCTTGACTTACCATTTCTGTTTTGCCTCCCAGCTCAAAGAAGATGGTATGCGTAAGTGAAAGTTACATTGAATGATGCTGACACACAGACTGACCTGTGCAGCGCTAATGTCAACTCAAACTTGGTTTATAACCACTACATGACTAACATAAGTTCAAACATTAGTCATTTTAAATGGTCAATTCTACCTCTGGCACATGTTTTTTAAGTATATTTCCATTGTTTTAAGCTGTATTTCCATTTTACATAAACTCTTTTGTGTTGGCCTAATGGTTAGAGCAATGCGCTTGCACTCTGAGAATGTTGCAAGAACCCATTTCGATCCCCACATCTGCACTCTGGGTCCCTGAGCAAGACCCTTAACTCCCACACTGCCCCCTGACAGCCTACTGACCCCCAAGGGCAAGGGTCAAAGGCAGAGGGTTCATTTCTTTCCTTTGTACTTGACAATATAATGACAATAAATTAAAATTCTATTTCATTCATTAACTTAGTGTTTTCTGGTTAAAATAAAGATGCAATAAAACATTCTTGAATGTTTAACTGAGGATATATATCTTGCTTGAGAAATAAACAGCTGGAGTTACATGATTTACATGAGTTATTATCTCTGATGCTGCTAACCCAACAGCAAATGGCAGAAGAAATCACACTCTCCACAACATGCTTGTAGAAGATCTTGTCACAAAGACTTAAGCACCAAAGTTTCTTCAGGAAGTACGGTCTTACCCAGGGGCATACAATGTGTGGCTCCTGAGCCGCAAGTGGCCCTTTGGATCCTCCACCATGACTCTCAATAGAGGGGGAAAAAAGATAAATAAGCCAACTAATGGTTTTGAACGTTTTATGGTATTATACCCGTCTTAGAAGCTCTAACTGGTTTCTTAAAGAACATTTGAAATTATGTTTCATAATACAGTGACAGTAAAAGTACCAGAAATATGTTTAAAGGTGTCAGGAATCCAGTTTTTATGGGTTGTTTCTGTGTTTCCTTTTTTCCACAATCAGGTGGTGCCCCGTCCTCATTGGGTCTCCCTGCACACCTGCAGCTCATTGCCTCATTACCTGTGGAGTGTTCTTAAGCTGCTGACTGCAACTACCTCGACGCCAGAGTGTTTGCCAATACTGGGTACTTTAGCCATGCTTAGTTTAGCAGAGTCTAACCTGAGTTTTTGTTTTGCCAGTTTTGGCTGCTCTAGCCAGGCTGAGTTTTGCTGAGTCAAGCTGAGTTCTTGTCAACCTGAGTTTTTACATTGTTTTTGTCTTTGCCTCTCGTTAGGAAGTCATCCTGTAAACTGGATTTTTCGGACCTTCTCTCCCTGGAAGGATCAACAGAGCTTCAAGCTGAGCTGGGGTTACAAACAGGAGTTTTGGACCCACTTTCCCCAAGAGATTGTTTGTGCTTCACATTGAGAAAGGGATTCATCTCCACCAAGACCCGTTTAAGTACCGCAGGAAATCTGAGTGGCAGTCAGCTTCACCAAGGAACAACCGCAGTCTGAGTAAACCCTGTCCGCCCAACATCAAAAAAGACAATCACTGGAACATCCCACAGAGACTGGATTCTATAAAGGACACCTTTTGTTGGAAACGTGAGTCTGCTACCTATTCCTCCTCTTCAAAACCAAGAATCTAATTTCCCACTGAGCCTGAACTAAGCGCAGTGTCTTCCCCTCACCTTTCAGTTCCGGTTGAGCAGTGTTCGAAGCAGCATTGGACTCATGTCATTATTCTAATAAACCTGTGAAACTTTTCCCTCGGTCTTCTGCATTTTGGGTCAGACCTTTAATTAAATCATGACAAAAGGTCTATTTTTCTTTTTTATTTATTTATTTATTTATTTTTTACACATCAATTAATATCCTGCAGAACAAAATCCACACTTTTTATGAAACGTTTTACATTTTTCTTGGTTTTAAAACCTTAAAGTACAAAAAACTGTAGGATGTTTAAAATGGAAAAAGATTTCCTATAGCAAATATTTAACAAAAATAATTAAAAAAAATTTAAAGATCACATTATTTGCATATCTAAACAACCTCTTATTTAGCCGGACGCCGGGCAAAATGACTCTTTTGATTTAAAAGGTTGCAGACTAACCCGTCCCTGCTTGTTCAAGGCTCTAGCCTTGTGCCCATGGAGGACTTTGATTTAGTTTCTTAGACAAATCAACACCTTAACTTCTTCTCCAATAAGGCTAATAGCACTCAGCCTGTAGATGATAAAATGTTTCCTTAAATTAATCATCAAATACATTTAATGGTACACCATTAAATAATTAAATGTAAAATGAAATAAGTAAATACACCATTAAATGTTTAAATGTACCTTTTTTTTATTTAATACATGATTTAATAATGTTACATTAAAAATAACCAATTTCATTTTCCATTTAAGTATTTTATGGTAAATATTTTTTTTATCTCATGGTTCATTTAAGAAAACATAATTAAATAATGTATTAAATACATTTCATGAAACATTCTTAATTAAATTTTGTCCTCTTCAACCCTCCGTACTGAAAGTGCTGTTTATATTAAAATATATGCTGTAAGAGCTTTTTTTCTTTACATTTGTATTTATCCGATTCTTTCTAAATGTTTCTGCAGACGGTTTTATTCCTGCCTTTGGAATTAGGCTATACCCTCTAGACTAACATGCCGCATACGCAGTGTAAATTAGTCTGGCTGTCCAGCCTCTACTTCCACTGGCCAGAATCTCATTTGAAGAATGTAAAATATCTCTTTAAATGTCATGATCACAAAATGATGTGGAATCAGTGTGGCCCTTCTTTCTTTTAGTTAATAACTCTGCACTAGAAAAACGATCTAGAAATAAGTAAAAATATCTTAAATTACAGTAAGTGCATTTACCCTTAACTTGAGTAGATAAATGAGATAGTTTGCCAATGGAATGAGTATTTTTGCTCTTAAAATAAGATAATTAGATAATATGCACTTGAAATAAGACAATACAATTGTGCTTTCTTACTTTAAGAGTAAATTGTCTTGTTCCATTGGCAAAAGGTCTCTTTTACCTCCCCAAACCAAGAGAAAATGCACTTATTTTAAGAAAAAAATGACTTAGGCTATCTAGATTTCAATTTTTTTCCAGTGTGCTTCTGAGAATTAGAAAAAAACTCAAGCCTTTTCTTTTTGTAGTAGGATTTAATGTACATTAACAGGATTATTAGATGTTTACATGGTGTGTGAGGATGTCTGTTTTTAAATTTATCCACAGCGGTAAAGATTCTCCTTGCTTGACTTTTTTTTTTTCTGTTCTATATTTGACCAACTATGACATCTTGAAAAAGGCCATTAAAACTGCACAGCTCTTAAAATCCCTCCTAAGATCTTCCTGCAACAATAGTTCCTGAATGAAAGTTGCCAAAAAATCCTGATAACTTATTCACATACTAATGTGAGGCTTGTATAAAAAAAAAATAAATCTCTATTTTGTGCTATCACAATTGGTACAGGGCCCTCTATTCCATTTTTTTTTATCTTGTGCTCTCAGGATGTAAAATGACACAAAGGGAACTTAATGATCCTTTTAAAGAAACAAACAAAATAACATTTCCCTTATGATGATCCGAAATGCTAAAGAAGAAATCACAAACTCAGATGTTTTTTTGTTGTTTTTTTTCACTTAGGAGCATTTTAGGTATTTGATTTTAGGTAAAATTTTAGGAAGTCTGATTTTTTTTTTTTTTCTGTCAAGTCTAAAGTGATTTTAATAACTGACTCCAGTCCCCACCTCTGTTATACTTTGTACTAAAACAACAGATCTGGATTTGTAATTGATTATATAATCAACAACAACTCAAATTGGAGGTAATTTTATGTAAAAAAAAAAAAAAAAAACAGTTTTTAAATCAAGCATACCCACTACATTGGGATCAGAGTGTCAGTTAAATAAGCCCCATAAACCTTCTGCCTCCCTAATTTCTACTCCCACAGTTTGAACTCAAACAGTTTCAGCGTGTGCCCTTCTAAAGTCATGGAGGAAGTGACAGATCATCCCGAACAGCTCCTGGGAGTCCTGATCCGGCGGTTCTCCAAATTTAACCTTCACAGAAAACAAAAGAAAAAAAAACAAGATTACTTCCTGAAATATTCAGCTTGGCAGCAGTTACGCTTCATAAGACCTTAGGGTCTGCAAAACCAGTTTAAGAATTAATAACTACATTTACTTTCATTAATGATCTGGTGTCTGAGACGTGCATGCTCTTTTCCAAGCCCGGTTTTCTGATGTAATTACCTCATGCTCTGTCTCGGCATGCATTCGTGTTCTTGAGTGCACTCGTATAATGAGGCAGACATGTAGTACCTAATTAATACTTACCCTCTGGTGGTTAAGGGTCACCAGCAAAGGAATTTCTTAAGTCAAATTTTATCCCGAAAGGGTCAGAAGTACAAGGTGTGCTAATTGGCTTACTGAATGCTTTTGACTGCACAGACTGAACTTAAGACCTGAGCGCCTCTCACATTTATCTTACCTTTCCTGGGATTAACTTTTAAAAAATTCAAACAAACAATAACCTATAGTTAAATTATCATATAAACTCTGCTGTCCCAGAGCAGAAACATCCATTTTTATAAAAACACATATTGCATTAGCATAGCAACATTAACAAAGAGCCTTTAACCCTGCTGGGCTCATTAATCTGAGAACAGGCTTATTCATTAATATATCTATATCAGGCAGCTCTATATCAGACACATAAAACAAACTTTTGCTTCTGTAAGTTTACATTTTTGCCTTTTTATGGATTTGGAAAACACTTTGCTAATCATTAGATGTTACAAAACTAATAGAGTCCTGAGGAAAATATCTCTCTGTTCTCATTTTGCCATTTTTAGTGGAACGAATCTTTTCATTTCTAAATAGAGAAAGTGCATTTTCACTGTGTCCAATTATACATGTTTGATTTAGCACTTCTGATAGAAACAGCTACTGGTGCTTTTAGATTACCTTTGCCAAACACTATGGCAGTGATTACGGAGTAGGCCCTGAGGACAAAGCTGCATTTATTGCTGCAGGTTTGCAAATCCAGATATTAGACATGCTAGCATTAGCATTTTGTAAAGCACGTTTTGCCATAGAGCTATCACATAAGAAGAGCGTGAGGAAAACAGCAAAATTCAAATCTGTTTAAGGTTGTTTTTGACTTTTTCAAAAATCACACACTTTTACTTGCACACCTTCAGAAGGTAAGAGGCATCTCTAATAGTAGCTAACATGATGAAATCAACGCAAGTGGCCTAAGTGCAACAATTTTATTAAAGCCTCGCTCCATTTCTTATATGGAGCGTAGGCTGAAGTTCAACTGAAAAAACTGATTGCTCTCTTACATCCAGTGATGGGACTAACGGCGTTGAAAGTAACGGCGTTACTAACGCCGTTACCTTGTTTTAGTAACGAGTAATCTAACTAATTACTTTGACTGTAACTATACTGCAGTTACCATTGCAGACACCCCGTTACTGCGCGTTACTCTTACTTTTTTCATGATAGGACTCGTGCGCGCCTTGTCATGAGAGAGGGGAGGATGAGAATGGCTGATGTATAGTGAGATTCCGTCTGTCAGTTGGGTAGGTGGGTGTTTCTGCTGGTGGGTGTTAACGTACAGCACACACAGAGAGATGGAGAGTGAGGAGGACTCCAGCAGCAAAACAGTGTTTTCCAGATGGAAATACTGGTGTTACGTCGAGCTGCGTTTCCCCATCAGATATGGGTTCCCCTGCATCTCCGCACAGCGCGGCGGCACGATTCACCGCGCAAGCGACAGGAAATACGCATGCTCGCTAAAGGTGCGTAACAGTCGCCCTGTGCTCGCGCCACAGGAGAACTATGGAGAGCGTGAATGATCAAATGAAAGGGAGAAATCTGGATGGATGGATGGATGGATGGATGGATGGATGGATGGATGGATGGATGGATGGATGGATGGATGATGGAAGGATGGATGGATGGATGATGATGGATGGATGGATGGATGGATGGATGGATGGATGGATGGATGGATGGATGGATGGATGGATGGATGGATGGATGGATGGATGGATGGATGGATACTCTGCCTTTTCAACCTACTGTATTTTTTATTTTAAACATTATTTGATGGCCTCTGTGGCAGGGATGGAGATCCATATTTTATGTCACACACAGAGTATAGATCTATATAGATAGATGGATAGATAGATGTTGCAGTATCTATAACAACCCAAACACACAGGATTTCAGAATGAGACATCCCCAGTTATTAATTTCATTCACTCACCAGATCTGAACGCCCTGTTAAAAAACTTCACATGGCGTTCCCCCCTGATGTCATTTACGTTGAGTTGCAATAAATGCTAAACTGTCTGCAGGTTCTTGTCTTTGTCGTCCGCTCTATTCAGCTGGCTTTGGAAACACACGGCGAGAAGGTGGGGGCCGGGTGGTGAGGTTTACGGGGGCGAGAAACGCAAAAGTAACGCAATAGTTACTTTTACTAGTAACTAGTTACTTTTATTGTGGAGTAACTCAGTTAGTAACTCAGTTACTTTTTGGGAGAAGTAACTAGTAACTATAACTAATTACTTTTTCAAAGTAACGTGCCCAACACTGCTTACATCCACCTGCGACGCAGCCAATCAGCTTTGAACCATGCCTCCACAAAAACCGATCAGCATCCAAAGTTCATCTAAAAAGGCCTCAGATCTGCAGCATGTCTGCTTCCTACTGTGCAGGTAATGGTTTCGCTGTGTGACTTCATTTAGATGACCCCGTTTCAACCTACCTCTAGCCCCTCTTGCACCATCGTAGCTAAAACTTCATCAGTGTCATTCCTACCAGACTCTTACTGCATTCCGCGTCTCATTTCAACCGGTCCGGCAGAATACCGCCATCTTGAGCCTGCTTCTGCCAGAGGTTTTTTTCCCAGGAGGAAGTTTTCCTCTCCCTACTGTTGCTTCATGCTTGCTCATCATGGACAGGTTCTCTCAACCTGTGTTATCCAACTGGACTTCCATCTTCAGGGTCCCTAGTATCAGCTCACTCAGTCCACTGGATCTCCCCATAAAGCTCAGCACGCCGTCTCACTAACCAGCAGTCTAGTTCTTTACTCCTATTCATGCATATCTATCAAAATTAAGCGCTAATGTTTCTTGCCGTGGTCTGAGCACCAAAGGCCAAGTAATTGTATCAATAAATTTTTTCTAATTGGCTTTTCTCTTCGTGTCAGTTTTTCAGATTGAACTGTACGTTAACGTATGACGGCATTATGCTTTATACGTTTGTAAGATGAAAACCGTGGACGTTTGTACTGGGCCTTAAATGAACAGAAGGTTTTCTCTGAATAAAATGTAATTCCTAAATCTAAATATTGGGTTAAAAAGTCGTATGTAACTGGTGTATTCAGGCCTTAAAGATTCACAATGTGCATATAAGTATCTACTATGAATGTGCACTTTTGGCAGAATACCTGCTTCATATATGAAGATGTTAAAAACCGAGGCACGATCATCAAGATGACTAAAACAGTCTGTGTCATATACAAGCATTACCAGAGGAGAGATAAGGAAAGACTGCGTCTACAACAGTACTGCTTAAAAAGAGCCAGTCGGTCTACCGTTGGGCTGAGTGCCACTCTGAGCTCATTTTTCTAATATGGCCGTTGTGAAACTGCCAGACTTTATTTAGTCTTTCACAGCATTATTGAGCTTCAAATGTTATTGATCGCAGCTTGAAGAAGAAGGAAGTGGCTGAGAAGGAGTAGCATGGAGTGAAAATTAGAGTGCAAAGATACTTAAAGGAGAAGTCCTATACGGTACTCTTGTGTTTTGTATCATAGGGATGTAACAGTGTCTATAACAGGATCTACATTGTGTGAAAACCTTATAGGCCTATTTACAAAGTTACTTTGTGTCATTCTTGGAAGCTTCAAGAAATTTAAAAAATCTTAGTTTCTTTGTTTTGTTAAAGTCGTAGGGAAATCATATTTAAATGTCAAATCATTCTGGCTTAAACATGTTTATAAATGTACTCTTTATCAGATGATATTTTCCCGAAATTTTGAAAATTTGTATATATAAATAAAAAATTCTGTCTTAACGTTTTTTATTTTCGTTATCTTCTGCAGGCCAATCAGTTAGAGCTTGTGGGCGGTCTAAACTCAGGGATTCAGGAATCGGGCTTTCCTGAGTCACCCCCCACTTTTGGGACCCCTTGTCTAGCTATAGAGAGCCGTCACTAATAATAATAGATCAGGCTGGTCTTAATCACTCTTTTCAACTTGAATAACTTAAATCACCATTTGAGATCTTTTTTATATTTATTAGCCTTATCTTTTGTGGCGGGCTGCTCAGTGGGCAGCGAGTAGCACTGCTGACTTTGATTCCCGGCCTAGGGTCTTTCTGCGTGAACTTTGCATGTTCTCCCTGTGCATGCGTTGCCCTGCGATAAACTGGCACCCTGTCCAGGGTGTACCCCACTGTGGTTGATGATCCTCCCACCACCACATCGTGTTAGTATTTTCTTTTCTTGCTTTATATTATATTACAATTTATGTTTAAGTTGGTTATTTTAGACAGGTATTTTCTAATGGGTGCACACTTTAGTTAATGTCTGTCTGAATGGTTTATTTACTTTTTTTTGAGGTGCTGCTGATGCAAACCAGCTGGAGAAGGAAACCTGGAGCGTACCATTTTTGAAAGACTGATGGGGGAGACTTGTTTCAAGATATTTTCAATTAGTTTGTCACTTAAATATTCACTTATTGTTTCTGCTAAGTAAAAGATAGTTTTGCTTTGTGTTTCATAGAATGGTTAATTTTGTATTTATTGGTTCTTTTGTTATGTTGTGCCTCCCTCATTTTGTCGACTTGGGTTACTCCATCTCTTTTTAAGCAGCCTTTAGTTCTTTGTTTGCAGGTCAGTTTTTTGTTTGAGTTGGATCCTCAGTTGACCTCAGTTAAGTTGGGCCCAGATTCTGTATTTAAGTTATTTTGTATTGCTTTTGAGCCTTTGTTAACCCCTTTTTACACAATAAAATGAAAGCACTTTTTCAAATTTTGAACACCTTTT